TGAGCGGCATTGTAGGTATGGTTAACTAAGATAGTATCCGACGAACCATCTTTATGATTTAACACCAAGGTTAATGGTTTCTCAGGGGCAAAGGAAGTCAAATCCGAAATGGTGATTTTATCATCCTCTTGAAATTTATCGTAATCTGCTTTATCGGCAAATGTCAAGGCTAGCATACCTTGCTTTTTTAAGTTCGTTTCATGAATTCTTGCGAATGATTTGACTAGCACAGCCTTCACGCCTAGGTGCCTTGGTTCCATGGCTGCATGCTCTCTCGAAGATCCCTCGCCGTAATTTTCATCTCCTACTACTATAGAATTAATATTCGCCGCTTTATAAGCTCTTTGAACTTTCGGAACTTCATCATATTCTCCAGTCAGTTGGTTTTTGACCTTATTGGCTGTTTCGTTGAAGAAATTAGTCGCTCCGATGAGCATATTATTGGAGATATTATCTAAGTGTCCTCTAAATTTCAACCAAGGTCCTGCCATGGATATATGATCCGTCGTACATTTTCCTTTTGCTTTGATCAATAAAAACATATCCGAATAGTTCGTACCATCCCATTTTGCAAATGGAGCTAAAAGCTGCAACCTAGACGAAGTAGGCTCTACCGAAATAGTCACTCCGCTTCCATCCGCTAGCGGTGCTTGGAAACCTGCATCTTTCACATCAAATCCATTTTTTGGCAATTCATCACCTATTGGTGGATCCAGTTTTACGGATTCTCCATTTTCGTTGGTTAACGAATCTGTCAATGGATTGAACGTTAGGTCGCCTGCAATAGCTAAAGCTGTCACAATCTCTGGCGATCCAACGAATGCATATGTATTCGGGTTTCCGTCTTGACGAGCAGCGAAGTTTCTATTGAATGAATGAATAATCGTATTTTTTTCTTTTTTATCAGCACCCACACGATTCCACATACCGATACAAGGACCGCAAGCATTGGAAAATACCGTTGCGCCAATTTTATCAAATGCATCTAAAAACCCATCTCGCTCAATCGTATATCTGATCTGCTCCGATCCTGGAGTGATGGTAAATTCTGACTTCGTTTTTAGGTTTTTGGCAGAAACTTGCTTAGCTAGAGAAACTGCTCTTGATAGATCTTCATACGAAGAGTTCGTACAAGACCCTATCAATCCTACTTCGATATTCGTAGGCCAGCCGTTAGCAGCCGCAGCTTCTTTCATTTTCGATATTGGTGTGGCTAAATCTGGACTAAATGGACCATTGATATATGGCTCCAATGTATTTAAATCTATCTCATATACTTCGTCAAAATATTTCTTAGGGTCAGCATAGCACTCTGGGTCAGCATTCAAATGCGCTTTGATTCCATTGGCTAAATCTGCCACATCTGCTCTTCCAGTCGCTCTCAAATATCTGTCCATAGACTCGTCATAGCCGAAGGTCGTCGTCGTAGCTCCGATTTCAGCACCCATATTGGCTATAGTTCCTTTACCAGTACAAGACATATTATCCGCCCCTTCTCCGAAATACTCTACAATAGCTCCTGTACCACCTTTTACAGTGAGGATTCCAGCTACTTTCAAGATCACATCTTTCGCAGAACACCAGCCATTTAATTTTCCTGTCAATTTAATTCCTATCAATTTAGGCCATTTGAGTTCCCAAGGAAGTCCTGCCATGACATCGACTGCATCGGCACCACCGACGCCTATTGCCACCATTCCCAATCCACCTGCATTCACTGTATGTGAATCCGTGCCTATCATCATACCTCCAGGGAATGCATAATTTTCTAGAACTATTTGGTGAATAATTCCCGCCCCCGGCTTCCAAAATCCGATACCATATTTATTGGAAACTGAAGCCAAGAAATCAAAAACCTCTTTACTGTCTTTATTCGCGAATTCTAAATCCTGAGCCGAACCTACTTTTGCCTGAATCAAGTGATCACAATGCACCGTCGAAGGGACCGCTACTTTGCTTCTACCACTAGTCATAAATTGCAATAAAGCCATCTGCGCGGTAGCATCTTGCATAGCGACTCTATCTGGGGCGAAATCTACATAGGCACCTCCACGAGCGAAATCTTCAATCTTCTGATCTGTATGTAAGTGTGCGAAAAGAATTTTTTCAGAAAGGGTAAGAGGACGATTGACTACAGCTCTTGCTTTGTCAATTTTTGCGCCGAAAGTTTCATATACTTTCTTAATCATGTCGATGTCGAAGGCCATGGTTTGGATATATTTTAATGTTAAATGATAATCTTAAACGAGTTAGTTATGATTCGCAAATATACTAAAATATACCTTATCTAGACTATAGATGGCGTTCAATTATTATATATTTAGAATTTTTAATAGTCAATATATATGCTCCATTGCCATTTTCGTTAATCTGTTCGTAGCTTTATCCCTATAAAAAAAGTGCGCGGCATATTAGGTCCATAGATATAGTTGCTATCTCTATTTTTACCTAAATCAAAATCATTTTGATATTCATTGAGCATATTTTTCATACCTGTAAATAATTCAATATCATGCTTGAGTTTTGTTAAACATATAGTATAAGAAAGTTTACAGTTGAGCTCTGAAAATGGCTTAGTCTCTATCATTTGATCTTGGCTGAAATTAACAGCTCCACCATAATGCGCTAGCTCCATGCTGCCAGTATATACATAGTTAAGATTAAAACTCCACACTTTATTCGGTGTAAAACTAATATTAGCAAATCCATAGCTACTGGGCGTTCTCAAAAATAATCGCCTAGGCTCCACGCCTTGGATATATTCTACAGGATTTTCAAATTCACTATTCTGCAGTGTCAAACCTGTTTCGACTTGAATTTTGCGGTTATAATTAGCCCTTAATTCTAAAGTAAATCCTTTCACCAGAGCACTCTGACCATTTCGCTTCTCAAATATCTCTCCAAAACTATCCTGACCTAAATGCTCTAACACAAAGGCATTCTGAAGTTGTGTATAAAATGACTCTAGGGTGAATCCAGCGATGACTTTATTCCATGCCTTATCATAATTTACCGAAGCACTTATACTCTGCGACCTTTCCTCTCTTAAACTAGGATCCAGTCTGACTCTAGAGACTCCTCCGCCCGCAAATGCAATATGTAAATCTGTATCAAAAGCCTGTGGGGCCCTAAATCCAGTACCAAAGCTCAATCTAAACTGGGTACTCAAACTAGGCTTATATAATAAAGCTACCCTAGGATTGAAAACTAAGTTCTCGATAAGGTTGTGCTTATCCATTCGTACACCTGATAATATGTTCAGCTTATCTGAAATATCCCAATCACTTTGCATGAAGGAGCCCCAATTCTTCGTGTGCTGATCTACCTTGTATCTATAGCTAGCTATTTCATCTTGAACCTCATCGGATATATATTCTGAACCAAGGGTTATCACATGTCTTCGTTTAAATAACTTGGCTAGGTCATGATTGAGTTGAATACCTCCTTGCCACGTAGTAGTATTGGATAGACCATATGGCGGATTCTCAAGATGCGCTCTGATTTCTTCTGCAGAGTCGGGATAGATTCCTGTATAGTGATTTCTTTTCGTATTCTGAAGCGCTGCATATAGAATAAGTGCTGTATTATTTTGATTGAAATTGAACTGATAGTCTGCACTTGCCATCCATATTCTGTGGGTTCGCTCTTCGGATTGTTGTCTTAGATAAGCCGTTTTATCTGCCATCTCACCTCCAAGACGGTATTCCTCAAGATTGCTCAGAGAAAACTCTAGTTTTTGATTCTGATCCAATTTTAGAAAAGAAGTTAGACCGAGCGATGTCAGATCAAGTTTTGGTAGTTCGGAAAAATTATCTTGATTGGCATCAAAGAAGTCTCGCATCCGTTTATTGACAAAAAAGGTAACGCCCGCATTATGGCTATCGCTCACTAGGGTAGCATTTCCTGTAATATTGAAATCATTCGATTTGCCATCGATACTTTGTAAAAAAGAGCCAAACTCATAGCCACTTTTTTTAGGCAACTTTGTAATCACATTGACCGTACCGCCTATAGCGCTAGAGCCATAGAGTGATGAACCACCCCCTCGTATGACTTCTATTTTTTCTATCATATTGACAGGCAATTGTTCCATGCCATAAAGACCCATCAATGGACTGAAAATAGGTCTACCATTTATTAAGATTTGAGAATAACCCCCTTGTAGTCCGTTCATTCTTAGTTGAGTGTAATTGCAGGTTTGACAATTAGTCTCTACTCGCAGACCTGGTTGAAATTTCAACCCTTCAGACAAGTTACATACTTGAAGATTGTTTAGTGTTTTGCTATCCAGTATATTGACTATAACCGCACTTTCTGTCTTACGCTTAAACGTTTTCGTACCCGTAATTACTACTTCAGAAATAAACTTATTTTTAGGACTTTTAGAGGCTTCTCGATTAATAGAATCAGATTGCGCTAACAAACTTTTTGACACAAAAAGAAGTAACACCGTAAAATATCTGAAATTGATTGGTTTACTTTTAATACATAAATGGTATAATGTCAAGCTCCACTTTCTTTCCTTATACATCTTTACAGTATTTCATTGCCAAAGTAAAACTAAGAGTAATTCTAAAGGGACTAACCCTAGGAGAAAATTATTTATAGTGTGCTATCACACTACAATACAGACCTCACAGCCGCTATAACCTCGGAAGGATTAGGGAGATATGCTTCTACTAGATTAGGAGCATAGTGCATAGAGCTATCCGCCCCTGTTACACGTTTAATGGGTGCATCTAAATAATCAAAAGCATAACGCTGAACTTGGAAGGTGATTTCAGAGGCTATACTTCCAAATGGCCAACTCTCTTCTACAATAACTAAACGATTGGTCTTTTTTACAGAATTTACTATAGTGTCTATATCCAGCGGTCTAATCGTTCTTAAATCTATTACCTCACAATTTACACCATCTTTAGCTAGCTCATCCGCTGCTGCCATTGCTACTTTCATCATTTTACTAAATGAAACAATCGTACAATCTGTTCCCTCTCTTTTCACGTCTGCTTTTCCTATTGGGATATAATATTCCTCATTAGGTATATCACAGTTATCGCTATACATCATCTCACTTTCCATAAAGACAACTGGATCTGGATCTAGAATGGCAGACTTTAATAACCCTTTGGCATCATATCCGTTGGAAGGAGAAATAACCTTCAGTCCCGGAATACTAGCATACATGCTCTCGAATGCCATACTATGCTGAGCTCCAAGCTGACCTGCACTACCATTCGGCCCTCTAAATACAATTGGATTGGAAAATTCTCCAGCACTCATAGATAACGTCTTGGAAGAATGATTGATAATCTGATCGATAGCCAATAACGCAAAATTCCACGTCATAAACTCTACTATAGGTTTAAGCCCATTCATAGCCGCTCCTACTCCTATAGCCGTAAAACCTAATTCTGCGATAGGTGTATCAATGACTCTTTTCGGGCCAAATTCATCGAGCATACCTTGGCTCACTTTATATGCACCATTATATTCTGCTACTTCTTCACCCATTAGAAATACAGTTGAGTCTTTTCTCATTTCTTCACTCATAGCCTCTCTTAAGGCATCTCTAAATTTTATTTGTCGCATAATTTAATAGTTTGTGGTATCCATGTTCTATCTTTTACAATGATCAAACATTTCTAACCCTTTATTGTTCAAAATTATAAATTTAAAATTATTCTATTGGCTATTTCTCTCAATTCGTCTTGGCTTAACTTCAATCTAGGATAATTAAAAATGAAATCGCGTCCACTTTCGATAGGCATAAGGTGAATATGAGCATGCGGCACTTCTAGGCCTTCCGCCCACATTCCTATTCTAGCATTAAAGGTCTTCTTCATTGCTATGCTTAATCTCTTTGCGAATAAAATTAAATCAGTCAAATCTCTATCCTCCAATTCATAAAACTCATCTACCTCCACTTTAGGAACTACTAATAAGTGCCCCTCTTTCAAAGGATTAATATCCATAAAGGCAAGGCAGGTTTCATTTTCAGCCACTTTTACACTTGGGATTTCACCTCGAATAATCTTAGTAAATAGTGTCATAAATAAACCGTTGAATCGAACAATTATTTTGTAATATCAAGAATCTGATATTCCATAAGACCTGCTGGAGTTTGAATAACTACTTTCTCTCCCTTTTTATGACCTAGCAAGCCTTTTCCAATTGGAGATATCACAGATAATTTACCTGTCTTAAAATCTGCCTCTATTTCAGAAACCATTTTATAAGTAAACTCCTTATTTGCTTTTAGGTTTTTCACTTTTATAGTGGTCAGAATACTCACCTTGGAGTCATCTATTTCCTTTTCGTCTAATATTCTTACATTGGTCATAGCCATTTCCAGTTGGGCTATGCGCTTCTCGAGTTTAGCTTGTTCCTCTTTAGCAGCATCATACTCAGCATTTTCACTAAGGTCTCCCTTCTCTCTAGCCTCTGCCAATGCAGCTCCAGCCTCTGCTCTACCAGCGGTCTTCAACTGATGTAAATCTGCTTTTAATTTATCATAACTCTCTTTAGTCAAAAATACACTAGCCATGTTTTAGTTTTATCTATAATTTATAATTAAAAAGAGGTATCCACCATTGGTGGACACCTCTTTATTTTCAGATTGCAAATATACTATTATTTTACAACTTTCAGTTCTATTCTTCGATTGTTCTTGCGACCTATATCTGAATCATTCGTATCCTTAGGCTTGGTATCTCCAAATGCTTCTGAGCTAATACGCGAAGCATCAATTCCCTGCTGTACCATAAGGTCTTTTATAACTTTAACCATTTTTTCAGTCAACTCCATGTTGCTTACAGCATATTTCCCATTATCATTATGAGCCTCTATCTTTATTTTCATATCTGGATTATCCTTCAAGATATTCACTACATTAGTTATAGCTCTTTTTCCCATTCTGCCTAAAGAATCAGTTCCTGCTTTGAAAGAAATACTATTGGCATTTTCATTTAACTCTTCCTGTGGAGTCTTCTTTGGTACATCAGAGCCAGTCTCTGTAGACTCTGCTGGTGTTTTCACCTCTACCTTTTTAGGTGCAGGTGTTTCTACCTTAGGAGCAGTAGGTGCTGTGGCAGCAGGTTTCTTAACTTCTGCCGCTTTAGGTACAGCTGGCGCACTCGGTGCTGGACTAGGTCTAGACATATTTTCCAACTTAGCATCCAAAACTTTGACCTCTACTCTTCTATTTCGCTGCTTACCTTCTTCAGAGCTATTATCAGCCACTGGCTTGGTTTCACCGTACCACTCTACCTTCATATTGACGTCTGGAATTGCTTTAAACTCATTCAAATATCTAGCGACAGTTTTAGCTCGTAGCTTAGACAGACGCATATTATTTTCAGGAGTACCATCATTGTCCGTATGTCCTTCGATAAGGAAGCGAGTATCTGGATAATTTTTTAGTAAGTCACCTACTACCATGAGTGCTCCTTCTCCTCTATCCGTAAGAATAGCTGTCCCTGTTTTAAATTCGATATTACTGGCGAAATTCTTCAGCATATCATTCACCTTTTTATAGTCAGTGACGGTCTCTATTTTAGCTGGAGCATCACGGAATATAGTATCATACTTGGTGATATACTTTATTTCAGGCTCTGGCTTTTTCTCAGGTTCAGGTTTCTTCTCCGGCACTACTGTTTTAGCAACTTCTGCTGCCTTCGCGATGACATATTCATCACAGTAGCTATATTTATTGGTAAAATAAACAAAACCGAAATTATGCGTACCTCCGAAAACCCATGAAGGTCTATAGTTATAGCTAATTTCAAGTACTGCTGGATTTTTTGATTTCTTCTTATCCTTCAATTTTAGATCATAGGATATACCTGCAGAAGCTCCCATATGAGCTCTAGTAGTAGTCTCCTTATTCAATGCGTTGTCTTCATAAAGGAACCCAGCTCTGAGCGATATCTCTTCCCTAAAGGAATACTCAAACCCTAGTCCATAATTATTAGGCGTAAAGGAGTTATACAAAAAATTAGTAGAAACGGATAATCTATGGATTGGCTTACAAAAAATATCTGAGCCAACAGGCTTAGCTCCAAAGTACAAATCCTTGCTCAAGGCAATAGAGAACTGAGTAGGTAGTTCGAACTTTGCGGCTCTATTGTAAAAAGGCAAATCATATTGGGAACTACCTTGAGGTACTGGTCTATTTAAAATAAGTCCATCACCCGAATATTTCATTGGAAAACCCAAATTTCTTACAAACACCCCAAAGTGAAAATCTTCTTTCTCACCAGTGGTATACTGCATACCTGCATCCAAGGCAAATCCTGTCGCTGATAAGTTATTGATGGATTCATTAATTAATTTCCCAGTGATACCAGCTCGAACGCCTCGTCCAAAAACTCTGGCATAAGACAAGCCTAGATTAAGATAAAAAGGAGAAAACGTACTTAATGGTTCAGGATTTATAGACGTAGTTCTATCAATATCACCAAAGGTCATATAGCCTATAGAAAAGCCAATATTATTTCCATTAGAAATCTCACCCCCCACACCTACATTGAATAACGAAGTTCCCGTTGCAGACAACCAACTAGTATAATTACTAAACACCGAAAGCCCTTTATTATGAGCCAGTCCTGCTATATTAGTGCCTAAGGCATCAATCCCTCGCACATTGGCTGAATTTATCCCAAACAAACCCATAGTTCTTGCTTGTGTATTTATCATTAACTCATAGGCACCTGCCTCGCCAACTCTATCTGAATTTCCTGCTTTACTAGTTAAACCTGCCATTAACAGACAAATAAACCACAACCATTTATAAAACTTCACCATATCTATCTTTCTTCTTATGTGACTTTAAAAATTACTTACATCTGTTGATCGCATAGTAGCGAAAAGTTTCAATACTTTCGTGCCAATATTAGGCGCCTCTACATTTATATAATACACTCCACTAGCTACTAGAACACCAGAGGTAGACCTTAAATCCCAAATGATAGAATTGTCATAATTAAACCCGCCAGAGGTTTCGCCATATTGTCCATCAACAATTCCCGTTGGATCAAGTTTGAGTCTGCGCACTAGAATGCCATCTGTAGTAAATATACTTACAACGCTATTCTTAGGAACATTTACTATTTTTACAGTATTTTGAGTTGGATTCAACTCATAGGCTGAGAATGCATAATATGGATTCGGTACTATCGTCATCTTATCGAAGGCCGACACTCTCAGGCTATCACTAGCCACTGGAGCAAACCCTTCTGTATTAAACTCATATACAGATTCATTTCCAATATATTTACTATAAGGCTTTTCAACACGTACTTTTATTTTTACCTCACTTGGTATTTCATAATCGCCCGAAACATTATAAAAAGTATAATTTTTCGCTAATAAAGGCACACAAGTCCAAGCTATCTGACGATAAAAGTTTGAGACATTTATGTTAAGGGTTGCGGTATTTCCTGTTCCGTTAAAAAGATTAAAATTGCTTTCTAATAAATCCCTATCTGAAACCACCTTGCCCTCACTATATGGCGTATTCATTACATATATAAACTGGCTACCGCCATATAATGGATTACCTAAAACCGTTTTAGTTGTAGTATCAGGATCCCACACCATATTAGCCGCATTTTTTCCTCTAAACCTAGAGTTTTCACCGAAATAAACATTCATTCGCACACCTGTTTCTAGATTGATAGCATAACCAGGAAACCAGCTTAAACCTTTTCCTTCATTGTCTAATTGACCATTCTTCCCAACACTACTAGCTTGACGAAGTTGACCTTTAAAAGCAGAGCCTTCGTTAAATACTTGAGATTCCCCTGTTTCAAATACCAAAGCCCTTGACCACTTAGATTGGTCATTGGTGATGACAAAATCTAAACTATAAATCGAGTCTAAATTGTTTTCAGGAGCTTCCCCCCAAGTTAAATTGGTGAGAGAATCTGCTGTAACTCTTCTCCATTTAAATCCTGGACTGAAACTTTGGTAATTATTCTCAGAGGCTATAGCCGTAATAGTTGCATTCGCAGCCAAACAATAAGGGGCAAAAGAACCATCTAAAATATTACTAAAGACTTCAGTAGGATCAGTAAAAATTCTTGTGTTATTGATATAATTATAGGCTGACGCAAATTTTCCTTTATTATCATTAGTTGTGCCAGAACGAATCCAATCGTTTTGCGCTACACCATTTTCATCAGCGAGCAATCTCAGCCATTTCTTTGAACTATCTTTAAAATCAATAGAACCGCCAATATAACCATAGTATTTATTGCCACTTCTTTGTATTGATCCAACTGTATCAGCCATCGTATGAGCAATTGCAATTCCATAGCTTTCTAACTTTCCATTAATACTTGCAGAAATGGATTGACTAAAATCTCGATCTAGTTTTCCTTCAGAATAGATTGTTCGTATATTACCATTTTCTGTTATCTCAAGACTCCAACTAGTTGAATCTAATTTAAATCTATTTGGATTGAAGACAATCGAAGAATCGGCCATTGTCAATTGAAACTTCGCATTTTTAACTTTGAATGGATCTACCACTTTTACTAAAATTGGAGATTTTCCTCCAGCATAAGTAAGTCTATCTTTCGAATTAGTAGACACAATTTCAGCTTCATCCGCAGGATTCGCTATATCTAAAAAGTACTTTCCATGACCTTGTCCTTGTAATCTTGTCACTGGTATTCCTTGGCCATAATTCGCTTTTGCTTTTACTCCCCAAAAGTCATTATTATGAGGTGAAGCCTTGAAAATTTTAATAGCCTTACTAAATATTAATTGATTTCGTTGAAAATCAGTTGCTAAGCCGGGATTTTTGAAATTATTGTATGCGAAAGCGACAGTAGCATAATAGTAAGTTTTGTTATTTATCAAGAAAGATTGTCCTTCAAACTGAAATAAGTCTCGATCTATTTTTATCTCCCTTTCAATACCTACATTTGGCATTTTTATGTCTTGATCTATAATGGTTATTGGGCTACCATTCACCACATCCTCTTTAAAGTTAACACCTCTCGTTATACCATTCTTTCTATCCATTATTTTAACTAGTTTGGCCTTTGAGTTATCTTTTAAATCGCTCAAGTTACTAACGGCATTTTCGCTTAAAACCTGATAAATCGCGTAACCTTCAAATTTGTAAGTTGTATCCTTATTCCAAAAGGAAAGAGGTATATCAATATTCTTAAGGTTATAATTTTCGCCATAATTATTGGACGATTTTGAATTTTCCAAAATTAAGTGGAGTGTATTTGGCGCTTCTATAATTTTTAGGTCTGGGGCATCAGGACCAGGAGATTTTTCGAACGAGAATTCAAATAAACGCTGTGCTTTATCATCTGCATCTTGAAGATAGCGCATCGCAGGTCTGCAGCCATTCTGAGAAGCTTTGGGTGGTCTCACAAATACACAGCCAATAGTTATATTTTCATGCGTGCCGGCCTTCATATCAAAAGGCCCCGAATTCTGCAACCAACGTAAATCTCTTGGAGAATAATTTCTATCACACATAGACCATTCTCCTGCCTTGGCTGGATCACCTGAAAAACAAAATTTGGTAGACGGAAATCCTGAAGCTATACAGTCGTTGCTTAAGGTAAACGATGATCCTCTTCTTGTCAATCCTTCTTGAAAATTTCTAAATTCGATCTCTGTCGTTGGATCACTTACATCTGTTCCTGTAGCGTTCACATAGTAAACAAAAGAGGATAGACCTATAGGTTGACCATTATCCTTTTTCGGACCCTCAAAAAAATCCGCACCAAATATTGCCGGTTGATCACCATAACCTGGCGGGTCATCAAAATCATCTGAATTATAAACAAATCCCAATGACCTAGTCGTATCACATCCAACATAGTCATCGTTATAGTTACCTAAATCAGCATCCATATATTGTGACATATAAGTTTGCTCTAGCGTTACATTAGACTTATTATATATATCATAGGTATAGAAGGTCATATCGTTCAATTCGTCAGACGATTTGAAGGCAAAGGCCAAACAATTCATCTGTACACCTATTGGGGTAGAAGATGGTCCAGTATGGTTATTTCCAACATCATTTATTACCCAAAAAATCATTTGATCCGCGAATGTAAATTTATTCGCACCACTTTGACAGCTTGGATTTGGGCTCACTGGCTTTATTGAAGGTACATCCCCTGCTTCTGGATCGTAGATACAGTCTCCATCTACATCATTAAAAGGGGCTAAATTCTCAGATAATTCATCAGTTGTGAATAAGCCCTTTTTAATTAAATATTTATTTCCTTTTCCAGGCC